ATGCACGCTTCAAACAAAACAGTCAATGAAGACGAAGAAGAGGATGATGTGTTCTCCCGGTGCCTATTTATACTATAGTCGCACCGGTAGTGATGTCATGGCTGTCGCCGGCCAACGTGTTGTTGGTGTTTTTTCAATGTATGCTTCAGACACGGGTCACGACGAGGCGTTCCCCCATAGCGACCCCTAGAGGACGCAGTTCGAAGTTCCCATGAAAGGGAAACGGATTTCCAGCACTGAAAATCGCGTGCAGTAGCTCTGCTACAAAATGTATTTAAAATGGGTATCTCTGTACAGCTGTCGCCTCCGGTGTAGACGTGATGTCTGTGTGTGAGCAAAGAAAACAATCAGTATAAATATAACCATCAGTGTACTAGACATCGCACATCCTGCGATGTGATTATCGCGGATGCGCACATCGCGATATCGATGCTGAAACGATATATCGTGCAGCCCTAAGCCCTATACTTGATGTATAGTCCCGGTATCACAAAAATGGGATTGTTGAACTCAAAAGTTGCTTTGTGTCAGCTAAATACTTTGTTTGAAATTTATTTAGTAATATATCAAAATGGCATCTTATTTACGGTCTATTTTTGTTCTATTTTTCGGGCCTCTGTCTGTGTGGCTTTTATGATCTCTTCCTTTTTTATTTTTGTTTAAATCTGCTGGGGGCACAAGCTATGATGAGTGGGGTCCGCCAAGGACTTATACAGCAGTATTTCTCCGTTAGGGGGTCGAGAACCAAAAATGGGTCACAGGTCTGTTTTGATTGTGTCACAGACAGCAGAGAAATATAAGAATAATATACATTTTATAAAAGAAAAAAGTTAATATTTTTATTATGTTTATATAAAAATGATGAATTATGTAATTTTGTTATAATAATATTATTTGTAATTAAATGTTCTTCATATTATGTTTAAATATTTAATGTTGACATACAAATATAAAATGTAATATTTATCTTAAATCATGCATTTTATACAGATATACCTTTAAATTATACTGATTGTTATATATATATATATATATATATATATATATATATATAAGTATATATTAATTATATATTAAAAATAATAATTAATGTTACATTTTAAAATTAATAATATTTGTACAAGTTGAAAACAAATTCTAGTCTAGTCCTTCTCAACTGGTGGGGAAAAACAATGCAAATAATAATACCCAACTAACCATGTAATCACACATAATTAAAAAAGTTATTATATTGGTAGATGCTGTATGTTTTTCCATTGATGGCCAATTGTTGGATACTTCCGGGGGGTCTTTCACCAGCCAAACATCTGTCATTGAGATGAATGGGAAAGCTAACGGATAGCTTTCTCCAGGTATTATAAACCTCCTTGGGCCCACCCATAAAAAAAAGAGACGTTTGATTGATTAGACTTGCATTTCAGAGAGATTCCTTTGCAAATCAATGACTGCCTGCATGTAAGCGTTAATGAAATTGCACACCGGCAGAAGTGAGCTGACTTTTTCCATGACGGAGTTAAGAGTCTGCACTTTCTCTAAAAGCCCTGTGGAGATCTTTCCCCTTTTAACGTCTCCATGAAAATGTCATTCGATTCAAAAATTTTACAGCCACTGAAGTGTCTCCAAGTTGATTCATTTATTTATTAGTAAATGAAAGTAATGAAATGCTTAAACACATTTCAATAGCGCTGTTTTGTGCTGCACTGGCTTTATTGGCTTCCGAGCACCCACAAAGATTTACTCATTTGATTAATGCATTAGGTGCTTTTACAATATTTAGCAAAGAACGGACCCTCTTAATTTATAACCCCCCGGCTAAATGAAAATGGAAAAATATCTGCTTCCGCTCGAGCTTGATATTACGTTTTGAAGCACAATGTTGAAAGCACTGTGATTCATTATTAATGCTCACAATATAAATAGTTTAGATCTTATTAATATTTCATTTATGGTAGAAAAAAAGATTTGAGTGACTGCTACAGTATTGGAGAAATTGTAAATATATTATAAAGACAGTTCATAGGAAATATCGCCGTTAGGAAAAGCAACTGTAAACACACGTACACCATATGCGATATCGCTCATGCTTCACTCACTGAGCGTAATATTTAATAAAAGAGTCCAAAGGCTTTGTTAAATACTCTTGGATGATGGTGAGGTGCACGTGCCTAGCGTGAGTATGGTTGGCTCTCTGGGCTGTGTGTCGTAAGGAGATAACTTATGTGTTTTATGGATCTTTTGAGCACTGTAACCGCCATCACAACAGAGATCTTTAATCTCACTGATGTGTGTTCGCCATCGCACTGGGACAGTCCTTGAGTAGGGGTCAGGTGATAATCTGTAAATGCCGGGATGTGGGACCCTGAGAAAGCGAAAAAGGAATATAAGCTTTTAGAGATCATTAAACATTAATACAGTGTGATTTGTGTGTCGAGCCCTTGTGCTGAATTTCGGTCTACATCATTATAGAATTTCATCTTGGGGACCCTCTGAAGTGGCTCCATGTCAAACAGGAGATCAGATTGTAAGCGCCTTTAGAGGAACTGATTAACTTCTGGTTTGCACAATCGCTCACAGGCTGAGGACCGAAGTGTTTTATCTGCATCCGCTTGAAGCCCCTAAATAAATTGGCTAAATTGGTTTTCAGAGCAGCTGAATCCAGACTGGGCAAATATTTAACAGGTTTTTCTTCTGCCAATACATTACATGTGGAGACGTCCTCATGTCTTATTTTTTTTTTCCAGAATGGTCATCAAACTGGAAAATGATTGACAGTAGGTGTCAGTAGTAGAGTTTGCCAGTAGATGGCAGTCTTTCCTAAGTGTTTTAGTACACTGAGACGGGTCAAGGTTCAGTTTTTTTTTTGAGATGTTGTTTTTAATGGCTTATCTTCTCTAGTCATGCCGAATATATATCTCACTAGTTATATTATTGTCTGATCCTAGTAGACAGAAACTATGATTAATGTAGCAATTTGCTGAATTAATAAAGAACGTGCATTTATTGGTATTTTACAGCAGCTTTGAAGGCAGCTCATCCGATCAAAATTAAGTCTGAACTTTCAGTTTTATAATAGATGTCATGCATTTGATAAACCTACTATGTCACACAGAGCCAGAGAACACATTCATCATAGTCTTGTCAAACAATGCAAAACATGACCATTAGAGGGAGCACTTTTCACACAGACAGACGTTCATTTACTTATGCTGATAAATGTCCCCTTGTCTTTTTGAAGGAATTTCTGGTTACTGGGAGCTGAAGACTGGATTTGGCAGTGCAGTCACAGACGTAAGAGATGGTCCCTGTTTCAAAAAAATATATTAGAGAAATCTAAACTTGTTTGCAAGCTCATTTTATGCAATGTTGTATGTTTGGGATGAGAATCTGGAACAATACAGATCATTCCTGTTGTCTATTACCTTTTGAGCTACTCTAATTTATGGGTATTGTCTAAACTCAGATAATACTAAAATAATAATGTAAAGCATATATAGTATTATACATTCATTTAATCATTATTATAATAATAAAAAAAACTTTTTGTTTGTATTAAATTTTATACATAATATTTATATATATAATTACAGTATAATATGTTTTATGTATAATTACCAATTCCTGCATGTTTGGTTTAAATATTTCTAGTAGAAAATAAAGTCTGAAATACACCTGAAATATTTCCAAATAAATTGCCTGAATAATGGACATGACAAAAATAAACATATCTGCTCAAACCAATATACAATTCATAACTGTGATGGTGTGAGATGATAATATGATTTCCATCTTTACAAAATATGTATTATATATTTATTATGTTTTTAAATAATATTTGACCATAAATATTTTTATTGTATTAAGACAAATGTGATGGAAATATTAACATTTACTACATAGCAAAAATGACAAATTTGTATTTTAAAGACACCATTGATTGGAACTGAATTCCAACATTTAGTTAAGACTTAAATGCAATTTTGTCTTTTTTTTCAGAATCTTGGTCTGAAAGAGCAGAACCTTTAAATACAAATTTAAAAGTAAACCTCCTGTACAGAGAAACAGTAAGGAGTTGCTCAGGTAATGCATCAATTTCATTAAATTGTAATGAAATCTGAACATTTTTGAATGTTTTCTCATACCTCTACATCTCTTTAAAAGGGTGAGGTACACTGGACAGACGGAACTCTCCCAAGTCTTCTGGAAGTGTGGCAGCACGTGGTCACATGACCTGGAAGAGAAAACCCAAGAGACTTCTGGGATCCCTCTCTGGTCAGTGACACATTTTATGAATTTCAAAACACCTTTTTTTTGGTTAAAACCTCCCACACATGGTGTATTCACAGAAATGTCAGACACTTAACTAGAAGCCGAAGCTTTTGGCCTCTTTTTTTTATTTTTACGAGATGTTCCTGACGAAGGATTCAGTTAACCGTGAGATAAGTAAATCAGCGCACATATGGCTTGTGTGATTTCACCCGTGCTCTTAAGGCAAATCCCCTTTCGCTACACAGAGACCCTGATGCGGAGAAGGTGTAACGTATGGCAGCCTCGCATGACTGACGAACGTGCCTTAAACTGACATGACAACACAGTGTGTTGTTTTGATTTGCCCTTCTGCCTGCAGAATGGGCCGGTTATCAACCTGGAAAGAAGTCTAAAGGCTGATGAACTGATCCGCACAGCGACACAGCTGCGCTCTCTTTCCCTCTTCGTCTGGCCAATCTCTCCATTTATGTCCTGAGATCCACAACTTTCTGTAACTCTGGTGAGTACAGTGCCCTTTTTCTTTAGAATCCTTCTAATCTTTATGATCTTGCTGAACTGGTTCTTGCAGGTTCCTCTTAGGCCCACCGTCTGTTTTTGAGCAGGAAATGCCATTATGGGAAATGGGATGACCTTTTGCGTTGGCAATCTATTGATGAATCAGCATCCATTCGGCTGGGAGCTTTCGCTGACTGTTGTAGGCCTTGAAGCGCGTGGGCTTATTTCTGTGCTGAATGCAAAGTGCACAGCGTATTGATTTCCCCACCCCCCCCACCATTGAATGCTATGAGCATGTTTCTGAAGGAGAGAGTAATTTGCAGTAGTATGGGAAAATATGACTGTGATATATTTAGGTGGTGTGACGTGAGACTTTCTTGCTGACTGTGCTTGCAGTTCAAGGCCTGGTTGATTCTGACGGAGCGAATGCTGTAGAAACTAGGCTAACTATCGTAATGAATATTAATGGCGGATGTGTGCGTGTTTGCATCTGTCGCCATGGGTAGTCTTCCTGTACATGACGTTGCGTCACGGTTATTTCCTGTCTCAGACACCTCAGAGGGAACTCTCAAGGGAGTTCTTGTCCTTTGTCATTGCGAGTAGTTTTGCCACATTGGCAGCTTTTGCTCAAGGGCCATCAGCGAAGGGACTGCGGAATAGTGCATTAAAAATAACTCGCGTGAACCGGCGAGAGCTTGTGTCACACGTTGGCTCATGTTGGTGGTGAAAGGGGATGCCGGTGCTTTGTCACGACGCAATCGTGAGCTCACCCTGACAGGCTTCGCTTAGATGCTGAGAAATGCTTTGGATTGGATGGTAGGCAGGCACTCAAACAGCCATTTTAACCAGCACTGACACGTCATGTGAACAAATCTCTTCATATGTCCTCTCATAATAACACAGCTACTGTATGTACACAGAGATAAGGTGTAGATCACTTTTCACCCCAAAATCAAAGAATTTTTTTTTTTGTGACATTAAATTTAGTAACTTTAGTAATAAAGAACTATTAATTATTAAATTAAACACAGTTTCTCACCAAAATTTAATTTTCATAATGCATAGGTTCTCAGCCTTTTTGACTACATAGTGTAATCTAGTTCTGTTAATATTATACTATGTAGGTGGGCTTCAAGTATATATTAAATTGAAATAGATTATTAACTAAAAACTGGGAGACTGTCAATGTGTGTATATTAATTGCCTTAATTTTATGATTTCAGACATTTCAGTTGAGAAAACAAAAGAAACATTTCACTTTATGTCGTGATGCTGTTTTTAGTATTTTAATTTAATTAGATAATTAAAATTATAATTAATTATAATTATAAATAATATTTAAATGATATTAATAATATTATTTGTATGTTAAATTATATATATATACAGTATAATACATTGGGCATAATGTGTCTGGATGGTAATTTGCTTTTGAATTCATTACTGTAATACAGTAGTTTTTTCTCTATCAAATTGAAAATAATACTGTAATTAAGTGTATTTTTCAACAGCATCTCATTACTGTAATGTGACAGTGATTATGTTTATTCTCAATGGTGATAAAATATTTGTATACACTACGATTAAAAAGTTACAAAAGATTTATTTTTCAAATAAATTCTATACCGTACTTTCTGATCATTAAACAGTTCTGAAAAAAGTATCATGGTTTCCTTTAAAATATATTAAGCAGTTTTCAGCATTGTTATTGATAATAATAAGTAATGTTTATTGAGCACCAAATTAGAATATCAGAATGATTTCTGAAGGATCATGTCTTTTATTTATTCATTTGTTTATTTATTTTGGGGGTGAAATATGACCTTGACATGTTCTTGACAAGTCTCATGTGATTAACCTACAGTAGAGTTTAAAATTGTTCACAACAAGCTCTGATTTTGCCTCTCTGATGTCCATGAACTCTTGTTTCTCAATCAGTGACAGCAATACAGAATGTTCTTCTGTCTCAAAGCATCTCCTTTTTTTATGAAGTTTCTCAAGTCAAGGTTGCTTGGGGAAATAATATATGAGACATGGCGCAAAAGACATAATAATTGTACACAGTCTGGGGAGGATGGATGAAGAGGCTTGTGGGTAGTTAACATGCTGGAGTGCGTCCTGTCTCGGCTGCATGCTTTGGCTTTCTGGGTATTTTGGCTTAAATGATGCTCTTGTCATCTGGGCACACATTAAAGGCAAGCCCATCTGTGACTGCGGGATGAGTGAATGCAGGGCACACGCAGATTACTCTTATTAACATCTCAGTGCCACCATTATCGGCTCAGCGGGGACTGGAGTCCCCTGTTTGTCACAGTTACTGTTTCCAGTGCAGTCAAAGCCTGACTTACGATGGACTATTTCACTCCTGTTTCAGACTGACTCCGTCTGGTGTGTTGTGTGGTCTTGACTCTAATTTGTCATTCTTTAGTATTCATGTATTCATAGTACGCAGCTTGAGCACATTCACTTGTGTTTATTTGTGGGAGCTTGGATGTTTTTTTCTCCTCTGTTTGCATGCACATCTAGAGATTTCGTAACTAATTGAACTTCTCTTAATGTATGTGGAGCATGACGCCAATGACCATGCAATTTATGTAAACATCATCGCAAATCGATACATTCAGGCTCACTGCAATATCTGTTTTACTAGTTACAGAATGCATTTGCATGAGCGGAGTGCAGTGACTCCTCTGACACATAATTTTTGTAGTGTGACTCCATTGTTCGTGTATTTTTGCAGTCATTTTAAAATCTAAAGCATGCTATAATTGGCTCAGGAAGTGAATGGAAAATTGACCTAATTATTGCCATTACACTCGCACACTTTTTGTGTTTTTTTTAGTGATGCGTGTTTTGAACCCAGCACAGAGAGGATGTGCATGAACATGCCTGGTCATAAAAACAATACATCTTGGAGGTTGAGGATTATTTCTGTACTCACAGAGCTCAGCTGTAAGAATTTCTGATGGTTCAGGTTTTGTAACTTTGGATGGATGGATGGATAAATAAATAAATAAATAGTTTTTAGCAATGTATTTTATATGTGCAAGAACAAAAAATACATTTTATAAGAATATATTTTATAATATTCATGTATATTAATTAGTGTATATATACACAGTCCTTTGCAGTTACATCCTTGGTTGCATTTCATATATTTCATTATAGTTAAAAAATATATGCTATAATTAATTTATTTTATTTTTATTTGTAATATAATAATTTATTTGTGTGTGTGTTAAATATTATCTATATACAGTAAACATTTTATATAATTAGATTTTGTTGATTTTTAAAGTGCAATTATAAATGAAAATTGTACAGCAGCATTGCAACTCCATTACACCTGTACATTTATAAAATAGATTTGTGCTGATAACCTGTGGTATGTGATGCAAAACATTACTTATTGATTTAGATATAAAAACATGTAATATATAAAAAATCAAGATCAACAAATGTCAACATAGCTCTGGTCTGATCAGACAAGTGACAGTCAGTCCCGTCAGCTGCCTCGAATCTCTCTCACACTGACCCCAGGCCATTCGGCCATCCTTATTTTCAAGCCCTGTGTCACTGTCAGATGCCCTCTTGCAATATTTACCAAATCTTGAAATTGCTTTCCGATATGAATTCTGCTTTTCGGATTTGTTATGTGGAAAGCACCACCATGCAAACATATTGCTGCCAGTTTTTAGCTCATTGGAATTTAAGAGTTGTTTGGACTCAGGATCCGGTACACAAGATCTTCAGATGTAGCCTATTGTACAGAAAGATGAGCCAGCCAACTGAAACAGAAAATCAGGATGAGCCTTGTATAATATTTCTACTGATTGTTGTAGTTCTTAATGCACTTTGTCATTTTTTTGTGAGGTCTTGTAAAAGCCTCCGGTCAGTAGTGAAGGTTCTAGACCAGGGATCCTCAAATCTGGCTTGCGAGATCCACTTTCCTGCAGAGTTTAGCTCTAACACTAATCAAACACACCTGAGCATGCTAATCAATGTCTTCAGGACCACTAGAAAATCACAGGTAGGTGAGTTTGATCAGGGTTGGAGCTAAACTCTGCAGAAAGTGGATCTTGCGAGCTAGATTTGAGGATCCCTGTTCTAGAACATGTTACTGGAGGAAGCAGACTGGGGCTAGTTCTGCCTTTAGGAAGGCGATTACATTTTACATTAAATAATCATGTATTATTACTTATACAGGATATTATTGTAAAAATTTATTAAAGGGATAGTTCACCAAAAAATGAACATTTTGTCATAATTTACTTCCCCTCATGTTGTTCTAAACTTTTTCTTCTGTAAAATACAAAATATTATATTTTGAAGAATGTTGGTAACTTTAGCAAATTAGCTCAAAAGGGAAATGTATATAAATAATTACAATTAATTATAATTAATTACAATTATTTATATCAGCTGCCAGTATACAGTAGCAGAATTATTATTGTCATCAACTAATCTGTTCGTCCAGCGAACATTCAGTGTAATTTCATATACAGTGGGTACGGAAAGTATTCAGACCCCCTTAAATTTTTCACTCTTTGTTATATTGCAGCCATTTGCTAAAATCATTTAAGTTATTTTTTTTTCCTCATTAATGTACACACAGCACCCCATATTGACAGAAAAACACAGAATCGTTGACATTTTTGCAGATTTATTAAAAAAGAAAAACGGAAATATCACATGGTCCTAAGTATTCAGACCCTTTGCTCAGTATTTAGTAGAAGCATTTCTTTTTTAATAAATCTGCAAAAATGTCAACAATTCTGTGTTTTTCTGTCAATATGGGGTGCTGTGTGTACATTAATGAGGAAAAAAAATTAACTTAAATGAGTTTAGCAAATGGCTGCAATATAACAAAGAGTGAAAAATTTAAGGGGGTCTGAATACTTTCCGTACCCACTGTAAACTCTAAGAAATTATATTTTCGTGGCCACAGAAATTAACCTTATACAGTATTAATGCATTAGAGCATGTAGCTAGATCGGATCGTAA